AACAATCGTTACCTGTTCCAGAACCCTCTATCTTTCACTCATCTAATGACATTCTTGATTTGGAACCACTTGCAACCATGGTTGTCTTGTCATCCACTTCATGTCACTCCACTGAATCATCTGATTTTGAATCAGAAGTTCACTCACCCTCATGTTTACACATTCCTGATTCATTCAAACCTACATTTTCTGACCTATCAGCATCTGACCAAATCAATCATAGACTTTCACTTTGCTCCAAATTCAACCTCTCAGATTTTCAACCTTCATCATCTGAAGCTGAAATTTCAACAACCCCTACACCTCAACTCACCATACCACAACCATCTGAACCTCAACCATCTGCACCTCAACCATCTGAACAACCACCATCTAATCCAACACCTCCTGATACCACTTGTGAACAACCTCAGCCAAACTCTCAATCTACTGAAAAAGTGACTATTGAGGAATACCTTTACCCCATCCCTAGATTAGATGTTGATAAACTATTTGAGAATTTCAAAAAGGAAGTTCGTATGGGGATTGCACGTGTGGAAGAAGAGTGTCTGTTCAGTATAGATCCTGTTAAGTCTGAAGCTGCTTGGGATAAATTTATCTCTAAGTTTAACGTTGTGGCTTCTCATCTCAAAGCAGTCTGTGCTGAAGATGCTAAGGCAAAGTTTGCTGAATTGGTCAGAGACTCTGATGAGCATTTCCAAACCACCAGTGCTGCTTCTAGAAGCTGCTCCTGCTGAAGACTCACCATCTGAAGATGTTGCATCTGATATGGACATTAATGCGTCTGAATCTGAAGTGAAGACTGACAATTCAGAACTTATGAAAGAGGTTAGGGAAATCAAGTCATGGATGATCAAACAAGAACAAACCACTGAAGAGATTAAAACTTGGATGACCAAGCAAAAAGAGTCTACTGCAAAGATCACAGATATTCTGACCCTGATTGCATCTCGCCAGCCTTAGTTTCTTTTCATGTTTTTTTGCACTGTTGTTTGCATCTGTTTTCTTTTGCTTGTTTTTTGATCATCTTTTATGTGAACCATCTGAATGCATGAATATGTTTGTTTTGCTTTTCTTCTGTTATCTTTTATGTCTTTACACATCTTTTTGATTATGACAAAAAGGGGGAGAAAAAGAATCTGATTGTTCAATCCATAAGCAAATACTAAAACGAAATTCAGACATATTACTAACTATCTTTGAATTTAAGTCTTTCAGATTCTATTGTTTCATCTGACAAAATAAATTCATTAAAGTTATCCTGAGAACTACCCAACCAGACTCTGATTCTTGAAGCAAATTGTACTCTGATTCTAAACGAAAAACCAGACTCTGTGTTTGAAAGAAGTCATCAGACTTTGATTCTGGAATACACTCAAGCAAAAAGGGAAGTATTCTTTTCCTTTAGAGTATTCATTTCAGGGGGAGATTCTTAATCTCAGGGGGAGTTATAATTATTGCTTTTTTATTGAACAAAATTTCTCATGTTTTGTCATCGTCAAAAAGGGGGAGATTGTAAGAACACAGATTGTTTCTTAGTAATATCTCTATGTTTTGATGATAACTCTTATGAAATTTTGTATTGAAGAATTATATGCTCTAAAATTTGTTCATGAATATTTGCTGCAGATGATTAAAGTATATATATATATATATATATCTAAGAGCAAATTAATCTGAACATGGAACTATGGAAGGCTCTAAAGAGTCAGAATCATCTTATAGAAGAATCTGAATGCTGTCTGCAAAAGGATCTGAAGCAGAAGCTACAGAAGAATCTGAAGCAGAAGCTGCAGAAGACACTAAAAGATCCGAAGACTCTGGAGCATTGAAGATCTTTGTATGAGAGTTAAGAAGCACAGTTTTTCAGAAGACTCTGAGAGTACTACACGTTGCATGTACTGAGGATCTGATTCATAAAACTCTGCTCTGATAGAACTACATACTGAAGCACACTTGCTGCATTACTCTGATTCAGCAAAATCTGATGGGCATCCAAGACTCTGATCACGCAGACTCTGATGTTTACCTTGCTGAAGTGAAATACTTGTTGAAGAAGAATTCAAAGTCATATCCGTTGATTTGGCTCAACGACTCTTTCCTCTTTCATGCTTGACACTAGAACACAGACCAAAAGCATTTCTCTGTGCATTCTACTTCCATGAAAGGTCATGTGATGTAAAGACAAAAAGGTTCAGGCCTTTTCAGTACACATCCTCCAACGTCAAGACATTGTGGACTACTGTGCATATAAAAGCAAGTCTTCCTCATCTTCTTCAGTTGACGAATCTTTGATAGAAACTCTTACAAGCTTTCATAAAATATTATTATTCTCTTTGCTGAGTTTATTCTTTTGTTCTTAACATTAAGTGAAAAATCACTCTTGTGATAAAGCTTGTTAGAAGCATTCAAACACTTGTATTTATCTTACATTTCATTGTAATAGTTCCTTGAGAAGATCCAGTTGGGATCAGTAGTTCTTGAGAAGACTAAGAACAGTTGCTCTTAGTGATTGCTATTGTAATCAGTTGATTAATAGTGGATTAAGTCCTTGTTTGAGAAAGGCAAATCACTCTTGATAGGGTGAACTGGAGTAGTTAAGTTTAACGAACTAGGATAAAAATCATTGTGTTTTTTATTACTATAAGTTTTTAAAGATACTTATTCAACCCCCTTCTAAGTATTTTCTCACCTTCAGTATTAGCCATGGTGGAACGATGAACAAGAGGTTAAGAAGATGGAAAAATGGGTGGAAAAAGAGGAAGACGAAAGAAAGGAAAAGAGAAGAAAACGATGGATGAGGAGAGAGGAATCTGAAAGGAAAAGAAGGAAAAAATCTAGAGATTCAATTGGTATGTAATACATGGAAGAAGGCAGATAGAAAGAGATAAGGTGAAATGAAGGGTGGGTAAAAAATCAGAGCTATCTCAGTGCTTTTGATACCATGTTAACACGTGTACGCAACAACAATGCATTATCACAAAAAAAGAGGATAAGAAAGAAAAAATTATTATTATTATTATTATTGGAAAATTGAACTAATACATCTGTCAGAGCAACCTATTAATAGGAAAAAACTAAAAGTTAAAAAAAAGGAAAAAAGTAACAACTATAAAAATAATAGAAAAATAAACTAATTGGGCTTAATGGTATTGACCCTTGTATGTCATCTCTCTCTCTCTCTCTCTCTCTCTCTCTCTCTCTCTCTCTCTCTCTCTCTCTCTCTCTCTCTCTCTCTCTCTCTCTCTCTCTCTCTCTCTCTCTCTCTCTCTCTCTCTCTCTCTCTCTCTCTCTCTCTCTCTCTCTCTCTCTCTCTCTCTCTCTCTCTCTCTCTCTCTCTCTCTCTCTCTCTCTCTCTCTCTCTCTCTCTCTCTCTCTCTCTCTCTCTCTCTCTCTCTCTCTCTCTCTCTCTCTCTCTCAACTAGTAAACAAACTATAAATTAAAAATTAAATGACATTTATCAAACATTAGTTTTGTATTAATATATACTTATACCAAACATATTCTAATTAATCTAATTAATTTAATAATATACAAATTTCTCCCATCTAAAAATAGTAACATCTTCTAAATTGTCATGTGAATTGTCTTTGTAATTAGGGATGTTTATGTATGGTAAATTTCCATAATTAAACTATAACTATAAATAATTTATATGTTATAAGCCGTTATTAAAATCAATTGTTTTAACCGATTTTTATTTTTGTAAAACGGTTATAAATCAATTATTAACAGGTTATATTCATAACCAATTTTATAATTTGTTTTGATTTAATTTTATTTTAAAATCATTTTTTCAAGAATTTTTTATTTAAAAAAATATATTTTTTATTTTAAGAAAAAAAATATTTATGTTAAATAAATAAATAAATAAATAAATAAATTTAAAATTTTGGAACAAATGTTCTTTTATTTAAAAAAATATTTTTTTTTGAAAAAAAATTAAAAAATTAATTTTTTATTATAAAATATTGACTAATTTGATTTTTATTTTAGATATGAATGACCAAATTATGAATTTAGTTAAAATCATATTAATAAGATATCTAAAATATGAATTTAGTTAAAATTATATTAATAATTAACTGATTTTAAAAATTAAATTTACATATAAATATAAATAATTTAAATAATCGATTTATTTAAGTAATCCTAGTGATTTGAATCATCTTTTGTTATTTCTCATATTCTATCTTCAACTCAATTTTAATGATTGATTATTTTTATATTATCTTTTTATATTTTTATGGATCATTTAACATTGTATTAAAAAAAGACAAAAAAAAAAACACAAAAGGATTCAAATCCTCCTCACTTCCCATCCAAAAAAAAATTCAATCCACAAAATTCAAACTCATCATAACCTTTCTTGAAAAAACAGCCCTTTATTACTTAAACAAATACTTACATTATCATCATTAAAGTGAATTTCTTGTTATTTAAATGACCCACTACCAAGCTTCTATTTTAAATTCAAGATAATGCCAGGAAAAAAATTCTCAACTGTTTTTGCTGTCCCCCTACTTAGTGTTAGATTGCGAGACAAAACTTTACCATATTACTATATACCTTAAAAGAATCTTCACATTATTGCCTCAATCTTTGATTATGCTAGAACCAAAGGAGGGAAAATATTAAACACTTTTTGAAAAACAAAAATAAAAAAATAAGAGAAAGGAAAGACAATGATTAGAGTAAAGTGACATATACATGCAAACAAAACAGTATGAGGTTACATATATAACTGTGAAAGAGAACAAGAAAGTAGAATCTTAGCTGGAGGCAAACATCCTAAATTTACTCTCCTTATTCACTTACCATCATCATAAATTCAACCTTTTCACACATGCTCACAACTTTTTCAACATTTTTCAACACTCACTTTCTCTTGTGCAACAAAAAGCTTCTCCAATAATCTACTTCTTCACTACTCCATTTTCTCTCTTAAAACCTCACCTCACTCACACAATAACAACAACATTAACAAAACAACAACAAAATGCAATCGTTGTACTTGTCTTTTTTGTTTATGTTCTTGTTCTATTCAGAAGCATCACTAGCTTCAATCAAATCCAATAACAGAAGGATCCTTCATGAACCCTTTCTACCACTGAACTCTCTCCCTCCATCAGAACTACCCAAACCCCCACCACCACCACCACCACCGTCACCTCATTCACCTCCTTCAACCCCAAACCCCAAACACCCATTTTCCACCACCATTCCCACTGACAACAACCCAAACCAAAACCAAAACCAAAACGAATCACCGTTTTTCCCAAACTACCCTCTTTCACCACCACCGCCTTCACCACTCACCTTTGCTTCATTCCCAGCTAACATTTCCGCCCTAATTCTCCCTCACACCCCTCAACCAGCTTCCTCTTCTAACAAACTCGTCCCCATTGCACTCTCCGCCACTGCCATAGCCGCCGCCGCTGTTATCATCTCCGGCTTCCTTTACTTTCGCCGACGCCGCTATAACCGTCGCGCTTCCACCGACAACAAGACTCTAAGATCCGACAGTAGCCTCGAGCTTTTCCCGCGCAATGTCGAAACTGCAGTCGAAGTCGGAGGAAACGCCTCCGATTTTCTTTACCTTGGTACAGTTGTTAACTCGCGCCAAATTGACATCGTTCCTCCTCGCGGCGGCGCTTCGGTGTCTCGAAAACTTGAGTCGCCGGAGCTCCGTCCTCTCCCGCCGTTAGCGCGACTGCCCGAACCTCCATTACCACCGCCGCGTGGTGACACTTATTCAGATGAAGAAGACGAGGAGTTTTACTCGCCGAGAGGCTCCTCTCTCGGCACCCGAGAAAGCTCAGGAGGCACAGGATCGGGTTCCCGGCGAGCATTCTCCGCCATAGCCGCTGGAAAAAGCAATGAATCAAGCTCAGTTTCATGTTCTTCCTCTTCTTTCGGTTCTCCCGCGCAGTCTCATTCGATGAGCCTCTCACCGCCGGCGAGTTCTAGTCCCCGGAGAACTCAACAAAAATCACCTGAAACTACACCAATTCAGAACCAACATGTGCAATATTGTTCTTCTTCTTCATCATCATTCTCTTCATCACGCACAACACCAGAGAGAGATTTTGATAAAGAAAAAGAAAATGCTTCTTTACCCTCTAATGCACATGCATCATCATCATCATCACTGTCATTACAAGAGAGATTCATGGAGAAAACTGAAAACGCATCTTTATCAGAACAACCACCAAGGCTATCGAATCATTCTAGTGCTTCTTCTTCAGCTTTTTCTCTTCCTTCTTCACCCGAGAAAAATATGATGATGCATCAAGGTTTTGATCAGTCTCCTAGAATGTCAAGTGTTTCTGATATGTCAAAGCTACCAGGTCTGTCATCATTGCCATTGTCACCCGCCCTACTTTCATCCCCTGAAACAGAAAGAGGAGGGTTTAGCTGCAATCCAAACCAATGGGGAACATTTTCTTATGCTATGCCTGCACTACAGAGGAAACATTGGGAGGTTCCGGTTCTCCCAAAGCCTATAGCTCCGCCGCCGCCTCCCCCTCTGCCACGGCAGAGGAGGCATTGGGAAATGTCAGCAACCTCCGCTATTGTTGATCAGCCTCGGTCCATTTTGAAGCCACCTGTGTTAGTACCCCCTTCGAGGCCTTTCGTGTTGCAAAACCAAACAACAAATGAGTCTTTGGGGGGAAATTTTGAAGAGAGTTTGAAACCTAAATTGAAGCCATTGCATTGGGACAAAGTGAGAACAAGTTCTGATCGCGAAATGGTGTGGGATCAGATGAATTCCATGTCATTTAAGTAAGATTACTAATTCTCATTCGTATCTTATTGTTTTTGCCTTTTAGGTGTATCTTAGATAATTTGAAATAAAACGCTTATAACATGTTATAAGTTATTTCCATAAGAAATTGAGAACTCTTTTGTGTATATGCTGCAATTGGTGTTCCTGAACTAAGTAAATTGAATTGGGTTGGCTGCAGATTGAATGAGGAAATGATTGAGACATTGTTTGTAGTGAAGCCATCGAGCCAAAACTCCAAGGATGATACTCCACGTTCCGTTCTTCCCTTGCCAAATCAGGAGGACAGAGTACTTGATCCGAAGAAGTCTCAAAATATTGCAATCTTACTCAAAGCTCTTAATGTCACAATAGAAGAAGTGTGTGAAGCACTTTTAGATGGTATTTTTGCATTCCTGCATTAGTTTTTGTATTGGATTAAATTGTAGTCCTTGTTCATAAGGTATGGTAATTAACTGTAATTGTAGCAACCGTCATCAAATATTTACTGATGACGTTGATAATGATACTAAACTAATCATTCCACAGGTAGTAGTGATACACTTGGAGCAGAGCTACTTGAAAGTTTGTTAAAAATGGCACCAACCAAGGAAGAAGAACGTAAACTAAAGGAACATAAAGATGACTCGCCGACCAAGCTTGATCTTGCTGTGAACTTTTTGAAGGCGGTGCTCGATATACCTTTTGCATTCAAAAGGGTTGAAGCAATGCTTTACATGGTCAACTTTCAATCTGAAATAGAGTATCTTAGAAAATCATTTCAAACACTCGAGGTATTCATCCAAACAGTCAATTGTGTTTATTCATTTGTTTGAGGACGAGCAAAGTCTAGTATTGTTCAATCTCACGGTTCGTTGTTTCAGGTTGCCTGTGAAGAGTTGCGAAATTGTAGAATGTTCTTGAAGCTTCTAGAAGCTGTACTTAAAACTGGGAACCGAATGAACGTGGGAACAAATCGCGGTGATGCGGAGGCCTACAAACTCGATACACTTCTCAAGTTGGCTGATGTCAAAGGTGCAGACGGGAAAACCACTCTACTGCATTTTGTCGTACAGGAAATTATCAGAACCGAAGGCGCTCGTCTCTCTTCTACTAATCAAACTACAAACTCTACTTTGACTGATGATGTTAATTGCAGGAGACTTGGCCTACAAGTTGTTTCTAATCTGAGTTCCGAGTTATCAAACGTAAAAAGGGCCGCTACTATGGATTCCGAACTTCTCAGCAGCGATGTCTCTAAACTTTCCAAAGGAGCTAGAAACATAGCCGAGATTGTGCAATTAATCGAAAAGGCGGGATTGGATGAAACCAGTAAAAAATTCACAGAATCAATGAACAATTTTGTTAGAATGGCCGACGACGAAATCATGAAACTTCAAGCACAAGAAAGTGTTGCTTTGACTCTTGTGAAGGAGGTTACAGAATATTTTCATGGGAACTTATCAAAGGAAGAAGCTCATCCATTTAGAATCTTCTTGGTCGTAAGAGATTTTATAGCGGTTCTCGACCGTGTCTGCAAAGAAGTCGGTATGATAAACGAGCGAACTAGTGTTAGCTCGGCTCATAAGTTTCCTGTTCCGGTTAATCCAATGCTTCCACAACCTCTTCCTGGATTACATGAAAGGAAGCATTGTCGTATCTCTTCAGATGATGAAAGTACATCACCTTAGCTTAAATCATTTCTGTCTATGTAGAATATATAGAGAAACTTAGTATGAATAGGATATGTATTATTATATGATGTTGTTATTGTAGCTTGTAAATAGAGTTTTTCAATTGGAGAGAACCTTTGCTTTGAATTGGGATTTACAATGCTGTTTTGTATTTTCTGTAATTGGTTTTGCAATTTCTTTATCAGTGACAATAGAAAATAGAAACAATGTTTCATTTCTAGGAGGGTGCAATTGTTCTATTTCTATTCACATTGTGCAAGGGGCTCGAGGTATTTTTTTTTCAATTTTTGTAAGAGAAACTTTTAATGTTTTTGTTTGAGGCTAACCCGTGATAAAATGGGACCCGCTATTTTTAATTGGTTAATCCGTTTTTTTCTTCGCTATAAATGCTGTTCAAACTTCTTTTTTCTGACAAATTTGTGCAAGCTATTTGGTACCTGAATTATATGCAAACCCTAAATTATTTATACCATTCTCCCTCAAACTGAAAAATTCGAATGGTAAATTTACTGGAATTCGTTCTAATCTAATAAGTCTAATTAAAGACTAAAAATCTGGATATAAATTATTATTATCAATAATAAATAGTAATAAAATAAATGTAGTAAAAGTAAATTATTTATACTACTTTTCTTCTGAATAAATATCTTACTTTTAAGAGTTAAATATGTTTGTAGTTTTATTAAATATTTTTAATTTCGTTTTTAATCTTTTAAAATATTTCGTTTAAAGAATGGTTCTCCTATAATTTTTCATCCACCCTTTTAGTGGATACATTTTTTTGGAAGACCATTTTTTAAAAACATATATTGAAAAATTAAAAACAAAATTTAAAATATTTAGGAGAATCATAAATATATATAACCCTATTTTTAATATAGAAATAATATTTTCAAAGTTATTGTTGTTCGATTCTTTAGTTAGAAGATTTGCAACCTTGTATCGAATAGAAACATATGGAGTTCAAATAATACCAAAATATAACTTTTCTTGGATGAAGTATCTTACAATTTTAATATGTTTGATTATTTCTAGGCATGACAACGGCTGGGTCGGGGACGATTTATATTTCCTTTAAACCTAAACTTGAATCTCCAAACAATTTCCATTCTCCATCCCAAACTCAAACGGAAATGAAAATTAAAACTCAAATCCGTCCCAAACTAATTCATGTTGGATTCGAGTATTTCTGTCTCACTTCCACTCATTTAATAAAATCAATTTTTTTAATAAAAATATTTATTTTTTCTAAAATCAAATTACATTACAAATAATAAATAAAACAATCTCAAAAACTTAAATACATACATTTCAAATATTTTAAATAATGAATACAAATTAAAATATCAAAACATTGGCCACAGATTTAATATTTCAAATTAACAAAATTAAATAATAATGTACATAATGAAATAAACAGGGCCGATTTGGGGGCGGGTTCGGGGTGGGTACTAGTGTCCCCGTTACTCTGACCCATCCCATATTTTTTGATTGGGAAAAACTCTAACCCAAATCCAAACCTAAAAAGCGAGTTTTCCTCGTTAACTTCATGGTGAGTTCGGGTGGATACCTGCGGGTATGAGTTATGTTGCCATGCCTAGTTATTTCATACTCCGTTTAATTATGGGTTATATTAATAGCAAATTTATCATCATAATACAGTATCATTGATTCATTACTCTTTATTTTTAAGTCTTTTAAGATCATTTTCAATCATATTAATTCGCATATCTCATGTGCCACTGCTCTGAACTCCGTTTAAACAGAAGATTTGGATACAACACTTTATTTTTTCTTCTTTCAAGTCACAAGACTCCCACCTAGAAAAGTATAATATCTTATATTTGATCTCCTATCTAGATCGACCTTGCATAGTCAACATTAGTATATACTTCAAGACCCACACTTTCATTTTGTTCAAATGAAATTCCTCTACTTAGAATTCCTTTTAGATATTGCACAATTCAGAGCGCAACTTGTAAATGAATCTTCTTTGGTTGGTGCATGAATTGTTTGGCTAAACTTACAACAAAAGAAACATTAAGTATAATATGCGATATGTACATAAGTTTTTTTTAACTAATCTTTGATGCATTTTCTTATCAATTATAATATTTTATTCTATGTTCTCCAACTTTACACTCGAATCAATTGTTGTACTTGCAAGCTTGAATGTTGCCTTGTCCATCTCTTGTAAAAGATCAATAATATGCATTTTGTTGTGATAAGAAGATTTATTTCTTAGAGTGTACAACTTTAATTCCCATAAAATAATTCAATTTTCCCAAGGTCTCTCAAACTTCATGGCTAAGTGTTCTTCTAACAATTGATGTTCCTTCTCACAATTGTTAAGTATAACAAGTGCGAGTAATATGGGTAATAGTCTCACATTAGCTAGAAATATGGAGACTTGAGCATTTATAAGTGGGAGAATCTATATACCTATAACCTCAAGATTTTAGATGAGTGCGTAGTGTGTCTCTCACAAAGGTGTTGTTCAACAAAAGAAATCTCACAATGTTCAATGCTCCCTAGTGAAAATTTCCCCAACAGCGGTATCATGGGCTTTTGGTTTGAATGATGGACCGACTCACTTGTATCAAAAGTATCCCCACAGACAGTGGATTAAGTGTCTCGTTGAAGATTGTCAACGGCGATACAAGTGTATGTGGATGAAGCTTCCGCCTAAGGGGGAGCATTATGGAAGCATTGTAGAAAGATTCATACTTGAGGGGGAGTGTTAAGCATAACAAGTGTGAGTAGTATGGGTAATAGTCCCACACTGGCTAGAAATATGGAGACTTAAGCATTTATAAGTGGGAGAACCCATACACCTATAACCTTAAGGTTTTGAATGATTATGTGGTGTGTCTCTCACAAAGGTGTTGCTCAAGAAAAGAAGTCTCACAATGTTCAATTCTCCCTTATGAAAAAAAACTCCCAACAACCATCATATGTTACTATAATGTCATTTATATACACCAATAACAATGTTACTTTCCCTATTTCATAATGTTTGGTAAATATAGTATGATCTAATTGACTTTCTTCTGAAGATTAAATCTACCATAGCTTTGGCGAATCTTCCAAGCTTGTGGTGAATGCTTTATCGCATATAAAGTCTTTTTATTTTTAATTTTCACACAGTGTTGGCGGTAGTAATACATCCATTTAGATATCTTATTATGATCTTCATGAAGGAAGATCTTTTTCACATCAAATTGATGTAAATTTCAATTACTGTTAGCTGCTAAAGATAATTTCACCATATGATCTTCATTTTAGCAACTAGAGCAAATGTCTTTGAGTAATCTACTCCATAATTTTAGGGGAACCCTTTAGAAACAAATCTTGCCTTATACCCCTCAATTGATTCATTAGTCTTGTATTTTACAGTGTATCCTCATTTACACCCTACACATTTCTTTTTATTTGGTAGAGAAACCAATTTCTAAGTATTGTTCTTATTCGTTGCTTCCATCTCCAAGTCCACGACTTGTTTCTATTTTTATTAGACAATGACTTAGGTAAAGATTTGAGTATTGTTATAGTGTTTAGAATTGTGAAGAAGACTCTATTGGTGAGTGAAAAATGTTCAAAATTTAGGTTGTTAGATATAGGGTAAAATGACCTTTTGGTACAAATTATGATAGATTTTTTAATTACAGTTGGAATATGTGAATCTTTATAGTGTATAGTTGTAGTAAGTTGGTTTCCATTTCATGTTCATGAAAAAAATTCAAAAATTGTATCACTATTTGTTGAAGGGTCAAGGAAATTTACCTCATGTAATGTCATATTAGACTCTTAGATATGAGTAGATTCAAGAATGATCTTTTTTCTTGTATACACTAAATTATTTTCATATTTTAAATCAGTTTCAACATTTTCATTTTTTCAGTATCAAGTTCTGTTTCAATCTTGTCACCACTAGTTCCAATCTTAAATTTTGCTTCGAAAGTAAGGCCAGGAAGCAAAAGAGACACATCTACCTTACTTATATCTCCCATTGAAAATGAGTTTGAAGTGAGTAAATTTCTTATTCATGGTTGTAATCTCAAGAGACAGAATTTTTGAGATGAAAGAAAATAAGATTTGTAACCTTTTTGAGTGGGAGAGCATCCTATAAAGATATATTTTAAGGCTCTAGAATCAAATTTCCTCTACTAGGAGTGAGATTATAGGAAGTTCATACATTAGGATAGAATGATGATATGACTTTCATAATAGTTTTAGAGGCAAGCACAATAAATGGTAAACTATTTATGAGATACGATGTAGTTAAAACAACTTCGCTCTAAATTTTCCCAGGAACCATATTTTGGAATGTTATAACACGTGTTTGACCTAACAAATGCTCATTATTTCTTTAAACAATCTCATTTTGTTGGGGAGTCTTAACACATGAAAACTTGTGAACGATACCTTATTTTTGGAAGAAAGAATTAAGATTGTGGTTAAAGTAATATGTAGTGTTATCACACCTAATTATCTTAATACTCACACCAAAATGATTATTAAGCATAATGAAGAAGTGAAGAAACAAAAAACAAACTTCAGATTTTTGTTTTAACAAGTAAATCCAAATAATGTGAGTGCAATCATCAATAAATATTACAAACCAACGAACACCTGATATATTTAGAACATCTGACAATATAAATTAAAAAAATGGAAAAATATTCATTTGGTTATTGATTGAAAAAGAAACACGCTTGTGTATAGCGAGCTGACATACCTCACAACGAAGACTCCAAATCTAAAAAATTTAAAATGAAGAAAATAGTTGTTTTATAACTCTAAATGAATGATGATCAATGCGACAATGGTCCAAAATGACATTTTCCCTATTGATTTTAATTGGTTCTGAATAAAAAGAGTTGTTATTACTTAATAGATTTGAAGAATATTCTAGTTATCAAAGTAATAAAAATCATTCCATTCCTTATTATTTTTCCTGAATTCTCTTCTTGAAAAATACAATAATTGTTATAAAA